CATAGATAAAAAAGCAAAGTCTTTTTTTTCCAAGAATGCTAGAGAAAATGTATGCTCATGGTCGTTAATTTGTGACTTAGCTGCCATCCTTGAAATACCAAAAAACCGAATTTGTGACTCGTTGTGATGGAACTTCTGATGGATTCCGAAGTAACAATTTGATCTGGGGATAGTACGGATAATTCGGATTATTGAACGGTCTATAACAAGTTTTGATTTATTAACATCCCATTCATTATTACAAATTTACCTCAGTTATAATTTTAGCTAATTTGCTTCGATTTTGTAATTTTCTTAAAATTTAGACTCTGACAACGTGGAAGAAAAGTCAAGTAGAGTGATTTTATAAACACGATAAAATAAAAATTTATAATTAATGCGCACATATAATCATGTGGTTAAATTTTGTAATACGCGATTTACAGATTAAAAGCAAAACTAAACACAAATATTTGTGTATTAAATATTAAGTTTTTATAGAGTTCTTTACAGTATGTCTTATAAATTTCTAATTCGGCAAAAGAGGTGTATTATATGCTGTGTATGTTGTTAAATTTGATTTTGGTTCCTATTTCTTTTTGTGACGGATGTATATGCAAATGTAGCGTTTATTTTTCATATTCGTTTGGTTGAAATACTTCATCATCTGTAGTTGCTGGCTTTTGCAATTGCTTGGCTACATAGTTGACAAACTGCTTCTTCTTCGGTTTTTATATCCAAAGGTAAAATCCCTGCAAGGATACTGATTGAATTTAGAGAAGTCGTGCCGTAGATTCTAAGAAGGGTCTCTATATGCTGAACAGATACTTGATTTCTCGTCTTTTCATGCGTAGAGCCCATACTGACACACTATATGTTACAATTTTCTCTACAATTGTAAAATATAGAACTTTTTGAATTTATTAAATAGTTAAGAATCTGGATGTATGTATGTTCCACGCATTTTGAAAAAGCTAAATCTAGAACCACCAGAATTTAAACACACATAGTATTTCTCCACCCAAAAATGCTCACATCGGAACTCGAATTTTAAATTTCGAATTTGTTTTTATTTATTTCATATTTTGTAAATTAAATGAAATTTTGATTAACAAATTCGGAGATCTAAAAACAACGTACTGCCACTGGACAGATTGGAAAATATTTGTCTCAAATTTAATCAGAAAAGCTTAGCGATTTCAAAGAAATGTGTTGCCACTCGGCAAAGGGTAGACTGTTTGTCTTTCGAATTTTATAGACAAACTCGGCGATTAAAAAAAATGCATTGCCACTGCCCGAAATCAAATATTTTAATCTTTCACGAACCCGTCTGTTGCCATTCTGGAAGGCGTAAGATATTTAATTTTGCTTTAAAATTTAATCTGTCAGTTCTTCATTAGAAACTAAGTGATATAAAAGTCGTAAATGCAGTTCTTCACTTCTGTTAACATTAATTACTAACTGGACTCATTAAAACCATTCTATATTTTTTACATTTATAATAACTATTTCAAGGGGATGGCTGGGAAAGGGACTAGTGGATTAAAAAAATTCATATTGAATCACAAAAATTGTGCTAGCTATCTGCCATTAAAATATTCTCGTAAAATTTCCTCTCTTTTCAAATCTTAATGGCCAACATTTCATCAAGAAATATTTTAAGAGAAATGACCCAAATTCAATTTTGTGTTATTTGATTGTGATAAAGCACGCTAGGGCTATCTATCTAAACGGAGGGATGGTTTCGTGGAGACATTTGTCAGGAAGACTGGCTTATACTCAGTTACACACTGGGAAAAACACGGAAACTCCCACGCAGCTAGCCTGTTCGCCTGCAGTCGAACCAGGTTAACAACCAGTGTTCAGTGACTTTACCTTTCAGCGTTAGTGGGAGATCCAAATTCCCATAAATTAAGGGAGAGAAGATATTGAAATTTACCGGGAGATCAGGAGATGAAAAGTCGTGTCTCCTGGTTTTACTGGGAGACACAGCTCTGTTGCGAATATGAAGTTGAAAGATTAAATAACGATCTTCTTTATTTAATACTACTGAATGCATTATGCCGATATAGATAAACATTATAGTATTCGCTTTAGTGTAATATTCGAGATAATGCAGTTGTAAACAATTTTACTTAAATTTTAGTAAAAATTTCTAATTTATCTTAGAGATTTGTCGCTTTTTAAACTGCTGGCTGAAAAGCCAGATATTTTTTTTTGTAGATGCAAAAAAGTGCAAATTCTGAAAAAATCCTTGGAAATCTTTCGTTCAGCATAAATTTAATGCTTTTGAATTTTCAGCATTCTTGAATTCACTTCGTTTTGGGAGCAGCAGGAAGTTTGCCAGAGAGTGGGTTTTAGTCAACACGTCTTCTGTTGTGCCTGGTTTGAATTGGAAATGTGGAAAAAGTAAATCAAATCTAAAGTGCATTAGAAGTTTAAAGGCAGGGGCAGAGAAAATTTAATCACACAGAAGAGTTAATTTAAAATTTTGAATGTATTTAGAAAAGGAGGATGCCAAATATATAGATTCTAAGAATTTTATACATTACAACAAACAGAAACTGTAAATAAGATATAATCAAGATCATGTCTAGATGGGATGATAAACCAAAGCTTTGCCTGATGTTGCTGTATTTAAATTGAAGTGCTAGTTCATTGATTCAAGCTTTACTTAGTTATACCAATTTAATTTTAGCTCTCGTAGTTAAATTTAAGTGCGAGTTAGATAATCTTAATGTTACTTAGTCCAATTAATTTTGAGCATTAATTTCCTAATAAATTCAACTCAAGAATATCAATTAATTAATTTAAGCAATAATTAGTTAAATTTAGGCATTAGTAATTAATTTACTCTTAATTATTAAATTAGATACATGGTAATGGGAGATATGTGTAATAAATTCAAGTCATTATTATTAATTAATAAATAAAAATGCCAATAATTTAAATTTAAGTAAAACATATGATAATATGGGAAATTCATGCACTATTTAAAAGAATTATGTACATACGAATAGTCAAAGCAGACTAAATAAATAGGTAAAAAGAAATAAGAACGCATAGTGTATGGAGTAATAAATTTCTAGATTAAAATTTAAATATTAAATTTCAGCATTTACTTTTTGCCATTTACAGAACTATTACTTCCTTTCGAAATGTAACGTAAAGAAAACACGTTAATTATTACTTAAGGAATCTATTATAATATATTTTAAATATTCCGATATTAAACGACTAAGCAAGATTAAATTCTGCGGTTAGACTTAGTCACCAGTGCTCTTTCAAAATTAATTGCACAGATTATCTTACCGTCTTAAGTAAGCGCTTTCGATGTCAAACTCGACATATATTCCAAAATGGCTCAGTGTAGAAGCAGGATATAATTATACTTTGATAAATGGACAGGAGATAGAATGTTACTATTGACGATATATGAATATTATGCAGTTTCAATTCATCTATATTTGAAAGGGGTTACAGATTGGATTCGAATGTATTAAATTGGAATTTCGCTTATATCAAATGCATCAAGTAACTCGATGACGATGTTGTTAATCTAATGTCTGTTTTTTACTTGCTTTAATTTTCAACACAATTAGATAACTTCTGGTTTGAAAGATTTGAAGTAAATATTCGAGATATTAAAACATTTCCAGTTATCTACTTTGCTAAATACCATGTGCTTGTAAAAACATTTGCCTGTTTCTCACCGCTTTTACGTACATCTTGCACAAAAAAAAAAAAAAAAAAAAAAAAAAAAAAAAAAAAAAAAAAAAAAAAAAAAAAAAAAAAAAAAAAAAAAAAAAAAGATGGTGACAGTTCTATATATTTCGTTTTACTAGGCCGATTGATGAAATTTAACTTGTACCTTTCGTATCTCGAAAGCCCGACTTAGGATATATATTAGATTTGCATATACCACTGTTCTAACATAGGTATTCTGATAAAAAATTAGACTTTTTCTCAAATGGCATACTTATTTTTTTCCATATTTCTGTTGCATGACTCAAATTATGCCAATGTGGCAAGTTTTGAAAAAAAAAATTGAGCCAGTAGGTTCAAAAAAGTAACTCTCAAAGCTTTAGCTTTTCAATGTTAATTGAATTTGGTATTATTAATCTCTCTTTAAAAAAAAAAAAAAAAAACACACTTGTTTCATTCTTTCACAATTCGAAATTTAGGTTCAAAAGAAATAAAATTCGCAAATATTTTCTGATTTATTTTAGAAATTTGCATTTATTAGTAATTTTTATAAATTTTTCGAAAACATTTTGAATTATAACTTAAAATTTGCGCCATCACCTTAAAGTAGATTTACTTCTAGGCATACTTCCAGAGTTCTTTTCATTCAAAATTTCCGAAGCTATACATGAATTTATTTATACATGAATGCATTTTGAAACTTGGTATATTTATTAGAAGAGCTAACAACGCCAAATGTGGTTTACGTTCTTTGTTAAAATTATTTGAAACAGTGAACGATGCACCTTTCCGTCTTGTGCACAAAGAGAAAAGGGAAAGGGAAATAGGTTACTATAAATTAAGAATTTCGCCAAATGAATTATTATTGGCACAAACTGAAAAAAAGGGTAACAAATAGCTTTTTACATATCTCGTCAAGTTTCTCGCCAAATTTTATAAAATTTAATGTTTGGGCATAATTTTAGTCATAAAGTCAAAATATGGAAATAAATTGTCATTTCATGAAAAGTCCGAAATACTTATGTTAAAACACCGAATACCGAAATACCTATGTTAAAACAATGCTGTATATAAATCTAATATATATACTTAAATCGCGCTTTCGAGACATGAAAAACGCAAGTTAAATTTCGTCAATCGACCCAGTAGATCGAAAGACATAAAACTGTCACCTTCCTTTTTTGTGTGCAGAGTGTACATTTTTATGTATACAAAACAGAAAATACTCATAGTAAATGAAAATTTCTTATATTAAATTCTTGAAATGTTTTAGATTACATAGGAATTTATTACAATAATTTATGTTTTCTTTTCAGGTCCAGTAAGTTTGGGCCCCAAATAATATAAATATGGCAGAGTACGTATCAAAGATATTTCTTACGTTGTTTGAATTTATCTCTTATAACACATGGGTTTATGGAAATATTATATCAGTTTTAAAATTAATTTTTAGGCACATCAAGATATCAACTATTTTTTCCTGCTTCTCAAATATGAAAAATCATAATACATATACTAAAATAAAGAAATAATTATTTATGACATTTTTTTCTACTATTCATATTTAATTTTGTAAAAAATATTAAAAAAATATTTAGTGAAGAAATTGTTAAAATATTCAATCAAATTTAAATTACTGTTTATCTTTGATGAGGAGAATTTATGACGTAATGACGTTATTTAACATTATTATAAAATCCTCTAGTAATTTATATTGTGGATTTTGATGCATGCAAAAATTTCATCATTTCAGCAATATTATACAGATTTGCTGTAGAGATAGCTATAGTTTATAAAGCAGTCTATAGAGATAACTGCAATTTGATATCAACAAAGCACTACCTCTTTGACTTTCAGTCTGGTGTACCTTTGATTAAGAAATCTAACTGAAGGAGAAAAATGTGCAGATACCAACATATTTTTTAGTTTTAAATGCATTTAATAATTCAGATATACACCTAATTTTAACTTTATGTAGCTAATATTACATTTTTTAAAAATTTCATAGCTTTCATTTCAATTCATTTGTGAAATTCATGTTATATAAACGACTAATATTTAATTTTCTCTTTTCCATGAACACCTTCTTCTACTTGGGAACTACAGTGAGGTAAGTAAACTTCACTTTTAGACACGAAAAAGCAGCCTCTAATACTTTTGAATTTAAACTAATTTTACAATTTTGAATTATTTAGTAGTATATTCTATTGTAAGAAGTTATTTGGCTATACTAAGCAAATATGATACTTACGTATTATCCTGTCGACCGTGAAACTGTAGCCAAGGAACACGATTTGTCATTAGTTATGAATAAAGAAAGTCGTAACAACATATTCAGAATAACTGCGCTTTCGTATGATGCAACCTCGATTGATTAGCAGTCAACCAATTTTTGTTTCTACGAAAAGGAATATAAATTAATTATTTTCTGACTTTTGTCTTGCATTTCGGATGCGGATAAGATTAAAATTTGAGATCTGCCTTTTACAGAATAGCAAGCAGTGGACTATTTTCAGTTCTGTGTCCTACTCTCAAAACAGTGTGTACTAATTAATGGATAAAGTACTGAAAACGGGTAAACAATGGCAATGCAACATTTGTGACTGCACTCCGGTTCATTTACAGCTGGTCGAGAGAATTAACATTGGTTGAATGGAGAAAAGAATAGCTGGATATGGGCGACAAAACAGTAATATATTGTAACAATTGCCTGCGTGGAAATTATACACTAAGCGTTCTAAACAGAGCTTACGGTAAAATCAGAAAACCTAAAAATTAACTAGAAATCGACGAAAGACTTTTTATGAAGAGTAAAAATGAAGCAGTTACTAAAAAAAGAGGACTTAGTTTCTTCAGGATTCTGCCCACCAGCGGACGAGCGGTAAAGTCGCTGAACACTGGTTCGAATTCCGCGAACGGGCTGGCTGCATAGGTGTTTTCGTGGTTTTCCCCATGTGTAACGTGTATACGAGCCAGTTTCCCTTAGAAAGTCCTCCACGAAGGCATCCCTTCCTTAGGCAGATAGCCCTCGAGGCTTTGCCGTAATTAAATAACCTAACCTTCAGAATTCTGCAGAAACGACTGGCGCAATATTAGGACAGTTCCCGCCAACTTTCTTGGCTCGATGGTAGCCACTGTTTAACTGGGAAATACGCAAGCAGCCCCATAAACATTTACAAGTGGTTTCATTTATAAACTATAAATTTCATAGTTTTTTCATATCATACATCCCTTTAAAGATATAGGCGTGCTTGTCTTTTAAATAAAAATAAGATATGTAAAAAAGTAATACCTTGCGACGTTTGATAAAAATTCATTAATCTACGTTCTTTCAGAAGTTGGAATCATTTTCAAATCTTATTGGTGTTTAATGCTTCAAATCACTAACAGAACTTAAAAATTCAAGAAATTTTGCATGCTTTGATAAAGGAAGTCTCATTTAAGTAACACTTAGGTTTCAAGACATTCCGCAGTTACGTGAAAACTCGGATAATACCAAGTCCCAGAAAACTATGCATAACGTAATATTCGTGTAACATAGATTTATAAATTATTATTAATGAATTATTTTCTGTAAGAGATAGACTTCTTTTAATAAAATAACGATAAAGTACACGCAACACTGTCCAATTTTGCTATCTTTTCTCTATATATAAGAACATAAGGAATTCTAATTTTTAGCCGAATGAGGAACGAAAACTATTATACTTGCGTTGTAAATATGGAACAGCTTCAAAGAGAAAACTATTAATATTGAACAAGTTTCCTATTAAATCATTGTGTAAATAATGACTCACGATTACCGAACATTCATACTTTTCCTTACGTCTTGGATAGTCATAAAAACAGTATCGGCGGGTAATTTTTTGGGCTACTGCATTCGGAATTTTGAATCCCATTTTTGGATTACGCAATTTATAACTCGCTATTTTTTAATTTTCTAAATTTTTTGGAAGCCGTGTTAAATTACGAATACGGAGCAGAATTTTAGTTTTATTAGTAAATTTTCATTAAATTATTTACGTTGTTATTACATAAGTTCTTAAGTAAATTAAGTTATCTATTTTAATAAAACATGGTTTATTATACTGATTCTTTTGCTTTATAGGAACAAAAACGAAAACAGGCTGAGAAGGAGAGGAAGAAAGCCGAGGTCCGAGCCCGGCTAGAAGCTGCGGCTCAGGCCAAGAAGGGTGGCGGAAAAAAGGGTTTCATGACCCCTGCCCGTAAGAAGAAGCTGAGGGTAAGTACGAAATACTATTTTTAGTTAATTTGAGCATTACGACATAAATATATTTTAGAGAAGAAAATTAACTAAAATATAATTAAAAAAAGTCTACTAAGCTGAGGCGAGATATACTTTTGTAATTCTACCAGTTAAAAGTTAAGTATATTGTAGACCCTGCTGAGGAAAAAGGCCGCCGAAGAATTGAAGAAAGAACAAGAAAGAAAAGCAGAAGAAAGGAAGAGGACTATTGCCGAGAGGTGTGGACCTCCTAAAAACTTAGATGGCATCAATGAAGGTAAATGATGATAACTAGGTTAAAATTATAATTAGTATAACAAAATTCAGCCTGTAACCGTAGCGGCGAATATTTCAAAAATGAAGCAGTAAGTGAGGAAAATCAAGAACAAATAAATTTCACTATGCGTAGTGAAAATTGTTAAGAGAGATAAGACGCTTTTTTTTTTTCCTTATTCGGTTCTCGAAGTAGGATTTTTGACAAGGATCCATCCAGCCTCTAATGAATGAGTTCCAGTTGTGTCTTCCGGTTGTAAAGATAGCTTAGATGTTTGAATCTTGTTCCTTGCCGAGGTTCTGAGATTGTGGATCCTGAGCCTTTTGCTCTCCATCACAGCTGTTGTGAGATTACTTTACTTCAGCTAATTAAAATGGAAAATGATTATAATTAACCAAACCTAATTTTAAAGCAAATATTTAAAAAAAAAAACTTTTCAAACCACATGAATTATTATTTTATAACTATTTTATTGTTATATTTGTCCGGTAAGTGTATGTACTTCTCATATTATAGCATAGACATCCAATTAAAAGGTTTACTGACCGAGATCAAACGATAGTTTATTTATCATTTGCGTGATAAAACTTACAAAATAATGATTAAAACGCTTAACAAAAATAAAATAACAGGACAGAACTCTAAATGTATTTAAAGATATATTTAATTCATTCCTTAACTGTACTTCTATGACAGATGAAGCGGACGTAATGCCCCAGTTTGTAACGGATAAATCTCACCATATCTCTAGAATTCTAAACGTTTATTGTTGAGTTTGTATTTAGTGAAAATTGAACGTCCATTTGTTAACGTGATAATAAACTGTACAATTATGTACAATAGTCTGTCGCTGTTAGTTACTATCTATAGATTTATAATATTTACGTAACAAAACTTGAGACAAAGAAACTCGGCTTAAGTCAATCCTTTAAAGTTAAGAAGAAAATTTAATTTCATTGTGAAACATTAAACAGCGTCTGATTTATTTTATAACACGAATACCTGATCTTTATTTTTTCAAATAAATTGTTTTTAAATATGTTGGTAATTCTAAACCCAGAATTTTAAAATATGTATATAATTTATGGAGTACAAATGTAATTTTGCTTCGAAATAGTTCGGAATATATTTTCAATTTGATACATTATAATTTGTGATTTGTTTTCTAATTTCATTTTGATTTCTTTTAAACTTTCTTTATCTTAGAACTTAGTCATTAAAATCATTCGAATAAGGGAACCATTTTACTTAATTTGTTACTTTATATAGAAATGCAAATGAATACTTTAAAATTGTTTTTTTGAAAGAGAGATTTGTAAAACATAATTTTTAAAATTTTTAAGCGAAGTGGCAGAACATGTCTTTTGTTTCGTGTCTGTGTAAATACAGATGTAGGAAATTTTTTGTTATAGAATACTACCTAGAAAAGAAATCAGTTTTGTTTAGTTTAGTAACTGATTGAACTCATTTATTTGAGTGGTCAATCAAATAGAATTCTTTTCTTAAATTTTCAACAAAGTTTCAGAAATTATAATTTTAGTTGTGTATGTTCAAATGCAGATATACCAAAGTGCTTGTCATAGAATAGTTCATAGAGCATAATCATTTGTGTTTAGTTTAGTAATTGTTTAAAATCATTCCTCTCCGAATTGCACATTTAGTCGATGTCATTTCAAAATGACACAAACTGTACGTTTGTATTCCATTTGTGTCATTTCAAAGCGACACAAACTGTAGCTTTGTACTCCATTTGTTTTAAAACGTGTTTCAGTATTGTAGTTAATATTATTTTTTAGTATTATTTATGAATGTGTTTGTATATGTTTCAGCTTGTGTAATCATTATTGTTAGTATTTTTACTCTTCATATACGTATATGTTTTAAATGTAAAGTGTGCTTAGTATTTTCTTCATGAAAAGTGCTTTGAGTTCTGGATTTCTTACCTTGCCCTTTGTTTTGTCGTGTACTAATTATAAACTGCGTTAAGTTAAAAGTATTCCAAATGCAGTTATGCGCAATAATAATAATATATTGCATTTGCTTTAGACGAAAGTAGTGTATTTGATTCATTATAACTGAAACAAAGTTTTGTATCACACCTTAAAGCAGATATAGTATCTTATCTCAATTGTTTAAGTATTGTAAGATTTATTTTAGCTTGCGGATTAAAGCTTTCTGGTTTTTGAGTTATATTCTGAGATTTGCCATAACATCTTTCATTACAAAGGCGCTGCCAATGTATGGCCACGGAACTATATAATCACCTCATTTAATTAGAAGATCTATTAACTTTATTCTAACTTAATTGTTATTTGTACTTAGCAATGCATCATGAATTTTTAAAATTGCGTTAAAGGATATTAATTTTTTCGAAGAGATTACGTCATTATGGAATACAATGATATTGCGATTATGAATACAGTGACATTGCGAATGAAACTGATCATGGATTTATTGATATGTTTTGTTCATAGAAAATATTTTACAGGTCATCTGATATTAGATATTATTGGTAATAATAACCGAAATTAATAAGGTGTAGATATGTTATAAATGTCCGGTGCTTCTTTGTTGTAGCTGGCCCCGATATTGAATCTCCGATCAAGAGCTATCTCGCCAAAATCTGGTTGCGTGTTCTTAAACCTCCACAAGTAAAAGTATATTACAACCCTGTTGCATGTTTACTGTCGCCACGTGTTCTTATGTTATTCATTTTTGGTGAGGTGTTTCGAGTTTGCATTGTTTATTTAAAATATATTCATTTTGTCCATCGAATATGACGTTAACAATCTTTAATTTATCAAGTAATGAGATGGATGCTATATCGTTTTATCAAGAAAGAGGTCTTTTACCTGACAAACGAGTATGAGAAAATGGCCGCAACATGAAGCTCTATGTTAACGACGAAAGCATTTGGAGGTGCAATGTTAAAAATTAAAAAAAGATGAAGGGCCTCTGTGTTGGAAATTCGTTCAGTGGTTCCAGAATATTGTTCGTCATTGCTATTAGATTTATGTATTTTTCAGCAGAGGAGTTGACGTCCATGAAATGGAGTGACACACAACTTAATATGTGTGAAAGTACTGTAGTTGACTGGAACAATTACGTGCGATAAAATAATAATAATGAAGATAAGGATAAGTGTGTGTGTGTGTGTGTGTTTGATTATGGCAAAAGCCTCGAGGGCTATCTGCCTAAGAGGAGGGATGCCTTCGTGGAGGACTTTCTAAGGGAAACTGGCTCGTATACACGTTACACATGGGGAAAACCACGAAAACGCCCATGCAGCCAGCCCGTTCGCGGGATTCGAACATCGGACCGAACTACCAGTGTTCAGCAACTTTACCGCTCGGCCGCTGGTGGGCAAGATAAGGATAAGGATTCTTGAAATCATTCTTAGGAAACGACATGTATTATTGTTATTATTATGTACTGTGTTGTTTATTTTTATATTCGCGCTTCATGAGCTTAACAAAATTATAGCCGAGATCTTGGCGCAAATCTAAAACCGTCAAACATAGTTGGAGGCCGCTATAACAAAGAAGTACCAAATGTCCAAAAATATAGCCTAAAAATCAAACGCGACGGAAGCATGATAGGGCTTGAAAGGAATATCGGTAGTCAAAGCACTTCAGAGTTGCATTATCAACAGAATGAAATTGAGAGCTCTATAAATAGTAGAAAAAAAAAAGATATTAAAAGTTAATCAAAATTAATTTATAGCAAGAATTTTTGTTTCTTCTTTTATAATAGCAACAAAATAAAGCTTCTTAACATAATAGTTTTCAGATGTTTACAATTTCTTACATCAAATAAATCCACTTTGTTTTTCATGCAGCAATATATAATTTTCTTAAGTCCAACCCCACTTTTGAATTATTTTGTTCTGAAGATTCTTAACTAGATTCTAATAAAATAATGGGGACAGTAATTAGGTATGACTTTTAAATGAGAATTTTTTTACGTTCAGCAATTAAAAATGTAAAACGTCTCATCGACTTATAAATAGCAAAACGGACTCATTGAAATAAGAACTATTGGTAAAAAAATTTCACTACCCATTAATAAATATTCAGTATTACAAAGATGATTGCAACCCAAAAAATACGCACTGATTTAATGAATTTTGAATTTTCTGTTTAAACTTGCAGTAGCTTTAAAATTAAAAAATTCTTAATATTTCTAAACAGATTTTATTTATTTTTGTTTACTCATTTTTTATTTTACCTTTAATATTTTGAGTTTTATTGCCTTTTTGTCGTTTTTTTTTCCATATATGTTTCTTATAGTTTTGAAATTTTGTTTTTTTGTCTTCTGCTTTTTATTTTTTTATTTACGAACAGAATTGTAATTTGCATATGGAAATTTTACGGCTTTACAATTACTTTTATCTCAGTAGAGCTCTCCATTTCGCTCTGACTTCATGTTTCATTCAATAACTTCCCTTCTGCATCTTCTCAAATGAATAATTCCTCTTCTTTTTTCACCTTTCGTTTTCCCTACCTCTTCCACAACTTCCATTTCCTCGCGCAACCTTGTTGGGCCGCAGCTGCCTTACAGGCTATTTGCAAAGAATACTATCAGAGGATCGTGAAGCTAGAGGATGCTAAGTATGATCTGGAGTACGCTGTCAGACAGAAAGAATTTGTGGTATGAGTCATTTGATAAGAAAATAGATTTTTTGAATGGTTAATTTTCCTTTTTGATTGGCAGATAGCTGCGGCACTCACGCTTCTGCGATTTTTTTTTTGGATGACTTACCTTATTTTTTGCTGGCACTTTTTTGTTTTGTTTTTTGTCGTTCGATGTTTTATTATACTTTGGGAACTGTTATTCATTTATGCTGTTTGCTATCGACAACACCTTGCCATTTATATCATTATATCGTATTTCGGGATATATCTACACCTTGTGAATACTATGTGTGAAATGCAAATTAACATACGACTCTGAACTAATGCAGATCGTCCCAGTCCAATGGATATGAAACTATATTCAGCGGAACCTTCGAGTTCAATGCGTCTACTGGTTCTGCAAGTCAAAATTAAAATTCAACTAGATTAATTGTATTGTTTATTAAAAAGTCTATATTATATGTTTTACTTAAAAAACAATCAAATAGTGCTTTTTTTATTTATATTTGCGTAACAAAAAGAATGTTATTGAATATAATATTGGTTTTATTTTTATTTTTCTCTTAAAATATACGCAGCACAGATAAATTTACAATACTTTTTTACCATTTACTGCGTTGCGAATGGCAGAGGCTCAATATATATATCGTTTTATGGGTTCTCCGAATCGACAAAGTTTGAGCAATTAAAGTCAGAGCAATAAAATTTCTTTATTTTCCATCCATATCACAACTTCTGTTAACAATGATCTAAAAACTGTTACTTTTGAGCGCCAGGAAAGAAATACTCACGCCAAAATTTTGTATTTAGGCAATGAACAACAAAAATAAAGGCCAATAACAGCAAAATATATTGACAACGACGCATAAAAAATAAAGTTATACTTTAGCAAAACTATATGGAATATATTCATAAGGCGACAACCAACGGTTTCAGATGATTTAGGCTTTCTGTAGAGGCGGTCTTACAAACGTCATGTTTAACATCGATCAGAAATATTCATCATTTTTAAGGACGGGGATTTTAAGAAAATGGCTGTCACAGGAGGGTTCGATAATAATGTAATCTTATTAGCAAAATCAGGAATATTATCAGGAATAATAACTGTAGATATCAATATAAGTAATGAATATAAAAAGATATGACATAATAGAAAGAATACAGTGTAATCGAAATTACTTTCTAATTATAATAAAAGCAACCTATTTTTTTGATACTCTTCTAAAATACTTAAAACAATTTAGGAATGTTGATCAATTCTTACTTATCAATAATTAGGTAAAATGTCCCTTTTCGTCCCCGGAGGTATTGAGAATGCATCTTAAATAACAATATGAACAACACACAGGGACGGACAAAAATGAACTGTTTACGAATGCAATGCTGAATTACTGAAGCAAACAGAATCAATGAATAATTTTTCAAGTATGATTTGTGTTTCGCAAGTGGCTTTTTGTTTTTGAGTTCTGCCCACGAGCTTTATGTCACAGTGCATTTTGTAATCCTCAGTGCTCCTTTTCCTTTGTTACGTGCTTTCAACAATCATTGTTAATCGCTTACTAACCCATTCGCTTATTTAACTGGATTTAATGCAGTTTATTATGTTTTGCCTTTTTTTCCCTGTACCCGCTTTTTGCAGCCGAACTAATGCAAATCTGCAAAGAGTATCATGATCGCATTGGTAAACTGGAAGGTGAAAAATACGACATGGAATATGAATCAAGACATAAGGAATACAAGGTCAGTGCACGTTTTAATGATACTCCATTCCAACTCAGGAAAATATCACATGTGATCACGAAACTAGTATTTACTTGCATTCCCTATAATTGTAAAAACGCTTAATAAGGCTTAGTCAGAAATAAAGGTAAAACATAAACTAAAGAGCTTTACTCATTTTTTGTAGTTTTATCTAAAACGTAAACTGAAATAAAAGATAAAACAATAACTCTCATTATTTTAACTCATTCAGTTCAGCATTAATTATCCAGCTCTATAAAAATATTTTTCTCTGATTATTTAGAAATCATACTATCTGAAAATTATTAAATAAATGAGGCTTTGACGTCCATCTGAACTAATGTGATAAATAAACACTTTCATACCATAAATATACACTTAAGACTAATATTTCATGCTAACACACAAGTGCAAACATAACCGGCTATTATATCTTTATAATTATAAATCTCGTCGTTGACAGTTAAAAAAAAGCCATTCTTTAAACTTGAACTCACTATTGCTGTTTATTGACAGACGATTATTTGAATATTTAAATTTTCCCACTTAAATAAAGTTAAATATTACACAAAGCAAAGTGATAAATATTCTCCAAAGACAGAACTTCAACAGAGGTTCCAAGAGATCCTGCCATTCAGAAAATCAGAAAATGTAATAAAGAAAACACGCTAATAGACAAAAGAGATTCCAAGACCTTCTGCTATTCAGAAATTAGAAAGATAATAAAATTAGAAAAGGTATGTTGAAATTATATGGAAAAGTATATATTAAAGTTAGCTGGAAAGACATATTATATTACTAAAGTTTTTACTGAGGCTAAAGTTTTTACTGAAACTTTTAGTAATTTAAGTTCATGTGATAAATAAGGAATTTAAACTTTTAAACAAGTTTGATAAATTTAAATTTAAATCTGTGATTGAAATCGTTGCTACGTAAAAATACGAATAAACTATAGCAGGGCTTCTAAAAAATTCTTGACCTCATTTTGATGGGATAAGATGTTTCAAGATTTATGAGCGACGAAGAAATTTCCCAAATTAAAAAAACTTATAATAAAATTTATAGGATTGCTAACATATATACGTTTTACAAATCAATTATGGACACTTAACGAAAATTATGGACACTTAAGTCTATTAAAATAATCAGTCGATATCTTGGACACATTCCAGAACATATGAGCACCATGAGTGAGTAACATTACTTGTATAGATTAAAATCTATAACTGTAGAAAATGTGTACATATTCACATATTTCTACAAGCCTTATTTTAAGAAATTCTGAACTTTAATCCAAGTATATCAAACAACTACATTTTATAGGATGAGTGATTCAAGAATTATAAACTTTCGTAGTTCTAATTTTGAAGTGAAGTGCTGTATTAATCTAAATATTTATATGCATTATTATTAAAGTTTATAAACTTTAAAGTTTTGAACTGAATGTAGGAATGACTGCCAAGTTTGTAAACTGAAAGCATGTTGTTAAATTCTCGCATGTTTTATTACGCCGAGATTTTTTTTTTTTTCAAAATCTTTATGTAAGATGTAAGAAATTCTATTTCAGAAATAAATTTGTCTTAACTCTGAAAAATTTTCCCTTTTCATTTCTTTTATCTCACTTAATTGCACATTACACATAATCTCATTTACTAAATTAAAATTTTGAAACTCTTTCCATAATAATATAATTTTCTACGTTTTGTTTTTGATTTAAAGTCAGTGAAAACGATTTCATAAAAAATAATATTAAAAATTACAAAATTAAATCAAGTTAAAAACTCTTAAAGTAAGTTAACAAACAATTTAAATATAAATAAAAAAAACATTTTATCGTAAATAATAATCAAAGAACCTTTTATTAAAAAAGTGAAGCATTAAATTTGCTGATATATAATTAATTTAATTGAAACTAATTTTCGATCTGTGTTTCAGATTAATGAACTTAACATGCAAGTCAACGACATGAGAGGAAAATTGTAAGTTAATTAAATGTTTAAAATCACAATAATTAAGTCTTAATAATTAATTACGTGCTCTTATTCCATAGAATAGAAAGTTGTACTTGTGATTTACGTTCTTTTACCTTTTTTCCCTTAGCATCAAGCCACCTCTAAAGAAAGTATCCCGATTCGAATATGGAAAGTAAGTTTTCGTTTTTCGAAAATATTTTCTTGTTTCGCATAATGTTCATGGTAATGTGTGACTTGGGATAGAGAAATAAGCCGAATATGTGCGAATAAGTTGTAAGTGAGTGTAACAGCAGATTGGTAGACTGGGAGCTTAACACGAACGTAAATACCTTAACTAACTCTTTTGGCGACGATTAAAATCTGAAACTTTTCAGATTTTTTAAAGAAAACATTTTGTCGATTTTTAGCTAAATAGATTTGTTTCGTTACTGTATAAAGCAATGGACATGTTTTGCAGACTGGAGTGAAGTATTTTAAGTCGAACGTATTTCATAAAAATATAACTAATGGAAGACTTTAATCGCTAATCTCCTGTCCTTTCATAAGAAAACACGTTATAAACATTACAAAAGCAGGCTATTAAACCTAATTTAAATAATTTTGGGATTTTTATTTATCTTCGGGAAACTTGAGGATTTGGAATTATGAAATTCCAATATGTTGAAATTAAACATCATTTTTAATTTTCTTCTAACAATGAGTTCTTTCCTAGATTCGAGAAATTAATGCGCGCAGCCAAGAAGGCTGATAATGACTTCAGAGCCAATCTGAAATCTGTTGGACCATCCACGAAATTCAAGCTCGATGAAGATGTCAAGGAGGTAGGAGAAGCTTCCTCATTTACCTAATTTTTATCTGAATTTATAAGCAAATATTGTTTTAAAGTATAAATACATTGATTATTTTTATTGTCTCATTTTCTTTTGTCAGGTTAAGTATTTCCTTTTCTTAATGTTGTAACAAAAATTGGTGGCTTTTTGTTTGTATCATAATTATGAGCTTCTGTTATAGCGCTTTTGTGTGCTGTGTATTTGTCTTTACCCTATCACATGGATTAATATTATCATTTATATTTATAACTACTTTTGTGCATTCTAACGCTACTGTAACCTGAAAGCAAGATAACAGTGCGTTACTTTTCAGCTATTGCAGATACATTTCTGAAAAAAAAAATAATCAGTTCATTTAGTTTTAAAAAAGGGATTCATTATTTTCAGTACACAAATGATTCGCAAGTTTCCTCACATTTCATACAAATTCAGTCTCAAATTTCGTACATATTATGAATTAACTATAGCATAATCTAATAAGGTACTACAGATTTAAAGTAGCTGTGTTATACCTGAATGAGTTAAATTGTTCAGACTTTTTACGAAATGAAAAATTAAACGGTTGAATATAAAGTGAATCGTCACGAATGAGTAAAATAAATTCTGCTTACGTATTAACCGATGTACATGTAGAATAAAGTGCGATGCATGTTTTCGCAAGTATAGTTTGTGAGTCACAAATTATTTTGGATATAGTTTAAACCTACGACGATAAATATTCGTCAAAACTAACGATAATAAACAAAGGGCTGTAGGATAAATCTTCAGGATGTAAGAGTTGATCAGTTAAATATGCTCAACAATAGTACATAAGTTTTAAAGTAGTATTAATAGAGTATTTAGGACAAAATCCAGCCTATATGATATTTGGTTAAAAAGTCAAAAAGATTTCTTGAAACAGAGTCACATACAACTGCAAAGCAGTGCCTGTTTGGAATATCTTTGAAATAAATGCAGTTTTGTTCACTTAACTCTATTTTTCTAGTTTCATGTGTATCTACCTGAAATTTTCCTCGTGTGTGTTACATGATGTTTCTTTTTCGTTTCACAGAAAAAAGCCCCCGAATGGGCAAACAAGTAACAGTGCTGTTGTATCGCCATCTCTGTGTTGAACCTTCGTCTGTGACCTGGGCGTTCAGAAAGCTATCCTACACACTGTTTACACATATTAAATTCATTCAAATCCATGTAAATTTCGATTACAAACTTCTAATAAATATTAAAAACATCATGAAAGTTTATTTTTTTATTTCTTTGCAAATGGTTTTAGCGAAAAAGTAATATATATTATTTTTTTTAATCTATGCTCCATAATTAAAATTTTTGAAACAATGAGGAAAAAAGAAATTTTCCTTTTTTCTCCATATTAAACCTTCACATGTTTTTTGAAAAGTCCAAACATAGGAAGATTTTTTTATAGTCAGAAGACTTAATTTTAAATAATGGAAATCGGAATTAAAATTGCCTTTTAAATGCTAGAAAAATGAATATAATATCCATACACTTATGCTTTTGATAATATTTAAAACCAAAAAAAAAAAAAAAAAAAAAAAAAGATTGAAGCTGAAAATCCTCAATTTTTAATCCCTTGTTTTCTTTTGTGCTACCTTGTATTTTGTGTCGCTTTGCATCCTTTTTTTTTTTCCACCTGGAGAATTTTTAGAAACCGAACCAGGTGTATGTATGTTTTTGCAGTGTTTCCCTATCAATGTTTTTAAATTTTTGTGTCATTTTTGTGTTTTTGTTTGCTTTGTGAAGTATTTTGATTGTTTGAATTTCATTATGGATGCGCAGTTAAACGTATTTTGAAAATGAAAAAAAAAAGTTCATATTTTGAGCTTTAGTTTTAAATTGCTTAACACAATAAACAGTTTCGACGCAAAACAGCCTTTAAGAGGTAAGTACAAATGCATTTTAAATAACTGAAGAATTATATTTAAATATCATTAATACTGATTCTGAAGTAAAATTAATCTTTAGAAGAAAAATATTAAGTTTCTCAATTAAAAATGAATAAGAATTATATTTCTGATATTTAATGTTAATTAATTTACGCCTTTAGTGTAAAATCAATTCGATTTGATTTTACTTTTATTATTTTAAAATATAAAAATGATAAATTATTTATTAAGTCTGTTTTAAAATTTAATAGAATTATTTTTCATAAAGTTTTAGATTGTTAATAATAACACATAGGGTAGTTTTATATTGTGAAATGGTCAAAACTGATATCATAAATTTTTTAAACATTTTAATTAAGCAGTAAACGAAATTCCAAAAACTGTGGAAAAATATAATTGCATGTACGCCTTTTCATTTAAGTATCAAATATAATTACCATTACTCTAAGAAGCTAGTGTAATGGTAGTAAAATGAAATAAAGAATGAATGCTTGAAAGAAACTAATTATAATGCTAGTAAAATTAAGAATCCTAGAAATGAAATAAACATGAAAAATGTATAATTTAATAATAGTATAAAATGAAATGAATTCTAATCAATTGTGTTTTAATAATATAATTATACTGGTAGCAACATATGCTAAAAACATTGCTTTCGAAGGGAACAAGAGTAAAATGATCCGCATAATATTATAATTTATAAAAGTAGTCCGCACTTGAAAAAAGCTTAAGAAACTCATTCACAGAGGAAATAAAATAAGGAAACGTTTCATAGCGGATATCAGAAGAAACGGTGAATTAAGAGGAAAGTTAATGAAATCTTTCCAAGAAAAGATGAAAAATCACAATTTAGTTGATAGTGCATGTTTTAAAAAGTAAATAAATCTGCTATGTGACATTCAAATATATTTAAACTAAAATCCCCGATTCTCTAACGAAACATAGGAGTGAAATTCGTTTCGGTATGAGTTGCATAGGAATGAGAATGGAAAAGCAAAAAAGCAGAGAATAAAGCCAGTTTTTAATGTACATAATATATTCATTTTGAGGCTTAGCAATAGAAAGCGAACGTGAATAAATTATTTTGTAGTTAAATTTTGCAACATAATTCAAGCTTTGCGCAAAAATAAGCACTAAAGTTAATAAAATAAATCATCTTGTAAAATTAATCAAAAACTTTACTGTACATTATGTTTTGGGAAAAAGCACTGTTAAAAAAATTAATAAACATCGACCTTCTGTGTGCGTCCACACCACATAAATGTTTTTCTCCTCTTCTTTTCTAATGCAAGGAGCCCTCACAATCCGACTTTCATAGTATTTGAGTATTTTATAGAATTTCGCAGTACTTGGCATTTTTCTCATTTTCCAACCAAAACAAAGTATAAACTTGTCCAAGAAAATGTAATAACAAAGATATTTTAAAGCAATTTAATTAAAATTTTAAATAGCCATTAAAAATAGATGATGGACTTTGAAAGAACAGTTTGAATGAATATTTATAATTTTCCCTTCAGTATTATAAAAAGTATTAGTTAGAAAAATAAAGGCATATATTTACAATAATATGATTTGATGAACTGAAAATATGCTTTAATGTATTAAAAATTTATATTAAGACATTAGATGAAATTACAGATTCTGTATATAATAAAATTTGTTTCCTATACTTTGTTTATTTTTTTATTCCAAAACGTAATCTACTTTCTGGATAGCCCTCGTATAAAATTCCAGATATTAAAAATTCCTCCTCATATAGTGTTGTCGAACCGTTATTGCTTTGAGAAAAAATATTTTCAATTTAAATGCGTCATTTGGAATAATCGATAACTTCCGTTGTTTAAATACATTTATACAGTAATTTTTAGATGTATTTCTGTCCCTGCAATTGAATACACACTATTCTAATATATTTATGTGTTTCACTAATAGGCGAAACCAGACTGGGCTTTGGGTGCCAAGAAAGACGAGAAAGCAGAGGAGTAAAGGTTGATTTCCAACGTTCCACTTTTAGAATCTGGAAAAAAATTCAGTTCATTTATCTACTTTGTACGTCTGCCAACAAGAACATAGTCATCGAAACTGTGAAATGAGCTGACATGATGTCACAATTCAAAATTTAATGTGATCCGTTTTTTACCTAGAAACATCTGTCACAAATGGCAACCAATGACTTCTATGCTGATGTGAACTCACGGACTGTATAGAAGAGTTGAATTTACTTAACGTGAAGTAAACATTAAAAATTCGCCAAAGTTTGTAACCATTTCAATGTGTAATTAACACTTGTTCATACAGTTAAATATTTTCTTTGTCTTTTTTTTCTTTTACAAGCTGTCAAAATAAAAGTGATGTTTCTGGATGTCTTACGGATTTATTTTCGTTCAGTCATTACATCCAAACCATGAACTGAAAAATCACATAACTATAAAAAAAAATTCTGAAACATCAAATCATATATAATTTCTTATACTAAAATAATAATAATTAAGTTCCAACACAATGGATTATTTTGGAAAGACAACGAAATTTCGCGTTTTTTTTACAATGATTATGCATGCAAATGCTTAAAACGATAGCGTAACAATAAAACAATCGAGAAATCAAAACATTTAGCTTTAATAGTGAAATGTTAAGAAATAATTTCTAGATTTAAAAATTAACCATTTTTCACTTTTTAGCAATCAGATAATTAAAATAAGCAATGCTCTCTATGGAGCAAAATGATTTCCTGAAATAGTTAATGTTGGTTTTGATAATAGTAAATTGAAACGCTAGCTATTTTATGAAACAAATTTTATTAAAATGTCCAACTATATAAAACCTATAGATTTCATCTCGGCCACCTTAAACTACAACACGTTCATCAAATTTTTTGCATCCCAGTAAGATAATAAAACGATTCTTTGCTCATTAATTAAATTATTACTGTTATTTTAAGAAATGTGGATACTACATGAGAGAACCAATTAAATTTGTTTTTATAAAACAGATAATATAATATCTTATAAACAGTATTTCTAATTAATAGTTTAAAAGAAAATAGCAGAATTATAGCTATAAATCTTAGAATTAGCTAAACATTTCCAATAATACTTTTGATTATCAGATGATATTCTTGTTAATATATATACCCATTTATAAAAATAATATGTTGAAATAAAAGTATTTTTATGAATTAAATTAAAAGTTTAATTGAAATTAGTTTGTTTAAATCCGTTAAAACATTAATTAAAAGAGACTGAAATATTTTATAATTTTTGCAGAAGCACAAAAAAAATTTTATAGCAATTTTTACAGCTTAAATGTTTATAGCAACACTAGGAAATATTTACATCAGCAAAAAGTAAATCAATTTCTCTTTAGGAAGGAATAACATTCTAATATCAGTAAAGAACGGCATTTTATTTCATTGTTTTAATTAAAAACTAATGTTACCTTTTAAATCACACAGCTCTTTGCAAAAATGCAAATACTAAATTGAAAGGTGTTTTCTGATTATTTAACATATAATTAGGAGAAATCACAAAGGTACAGATTTCTACTGCTCGTTAATGTATACATTTACAAATGTTTATTCTGGGTGACGATAATATTGAGCAGATGACCAATATGCAAGCAGAAGCAATGAAATGATGTTTTTAATCACAGATATGAAGTTCTAAATGCTTAACTCTCTTCCGTATCTTTATATAAGCGCTAAAATGAGAAAGAACAATTTAAAATGGTATAACGTCTTCATTATTTAATATATAGTTAGGTTACACGTAAATTCAATAATAATTACATAAGTCTTATTATTTAATGTGCAGTTAAGCAAGTGACTTCGGGATGTTATTGGCCCTTAAACATAGAATAGGCAGATGTAAATAATTTAATAGTTGTCCATCATAAATTGCATAAAAATTAAAAAGGAATAAAAAGTAAACCGTCCACAGCCTGGTTTGGCACACATAAAAGTTAAAGTATTCGGCTACATTTAAAAATTAAAATTAAGCTAAAAAATTGTATATATTACAAATATTTAGCTTAATTAATAAATTAATATTCGCTATTTTAATTACATTAAAATAGCAAATTTGCAGAGCTATTTGTTTAAGAAAAGTTAATTTAAAAGGCCTTAACCTTACCTTTGCGAATTATCGAATTATGATTTCTATGCAAAAATACCTTTTATCTGCTTTTTTCTCTTTCCCCGTAACGTAAAACATAGTAAAATAACATAAGAAATAGTATAAATAAAAATTGGAAAAAAAAAAAAAAAAACGCGTGTTCGGGTTTTTGGCTCGCCTCTAAGAACTTTATGCTCGATACATAATTTTTAGAATAAGTGCAATTAAATTGTGATCCTATAAAATCAATTCAGTCTGTAAGAAAAAGTGTTTTATCGTTACCCATAACACATAAAATTCCATTAAATGCTTTCGAATTTTAAAGTTTCAACTAGTCGGCAATTCAAGCAACACCACTTTCTTCCGTAGCATGCACATAGTAATTACGCAAATTTACCCTCGAAACAATCGCCATTTGCTTTTCCCTTTTTTTTTTTTTTTTTTAATAGCTAGTAGTCTGAAATAGCAATCCGAGACTCTAAAAAACAAGAAAGCAGTTTTTTTGGAGACGATTAATGACTGTTGTCTATATTATTTGCTCTAATTAGGCAGTATAAATACACTTCCACGACTGCGTTTGGCTGAATTGCAAATTGGCTGCATTCTTCTAGCCTTCTTCGTTCTTCTCACTTATCTACACATGGCGTTGCCCCAGGTTTTCTGAAATTTATGGTTGCTTTGTTTCCTATAGTTGCTATGAGCTTATCCACATTTAAAGAATCTCTGATTTACTTGGCTACCAATGTGAAACCACTTGTAGCTAACACAATCTACCAATGTGGCTACCAGATTGTGGTTTCTGTATTTGATATTGGCGTGTTTTCGTTTTCAAGACTATTGCAGTGATGTCATATTGGAAAAAGAATTTGCGATTATGCCTAAGACATATAGACATGATCGTCTTCCGCTAATTTTCCTAGTGAGTTGGAAATAATGTTCAGACTCAAATAATTATCGTTGAGGTTGTGTGTAAAACGAAGATGAGCCAGATTTTCTTATAAAGTTTCTCCACAAATTCCTCTTCTCAGGCAGATAGCGTTACAAGCTTTAATACCATTACATAATTACATATTATTGATTAAATCAAAGCCAAAATCACTGATATAGGTATTCCAGCTTTCCAGAACTTTAGTTGATTGTTTTCTAAACAGTTTTCATTATTATTCATACGCAGAAGGAAGTATTTGAAAAACTTCCATTTACGGGTTTTTTGTCCGATAGGTGTGATTTACAAGGCTAGTAAATATTAATTTTTTTTTAAATTTTAAACTACTTAGGAGAATATTTATTCAAAAATGCTTAAAACCATAGATTTATTTAAGATTTTTTTTTTTTTTTTTTTTTTTTTTTTTTTTTGTACAAATTTTGTAATTCGAACTAGATTTGCCAGCAAAAGGGAAAAGCTCCAATACTACTGAATGCTTTTTCTATACTCGTGACTTTCGTAGATAATTCCATAATAAAAAAGGAAAAGATTAAGTTCTAAAGATATATATGATATAAGTAACTACACACATGCTGTCGTAATACCAAAACGAAATATGGAAGGCTTCAGATTTTAACGGGCGTCCAGAAGGGTTTGTGAAGGTTTTTTACGCTCTCGCTGAACCTCACTGTCTACCACTCTGCTGTTACATTCACACCTACTAACCCATTTTTTTTCTTAACTTTATTATTCAGCATCGTTTTCTTCGCACTTACGTCATATACATTTTAACAGCAAATTTTAAAAGCCGCATAGCAATATACGTTTAGAACTGTCGATGCAGCGCTCAGTGTTGGCATAAATGTTTTTCCTTTTTTTCAGCCTTTTCTGAGTTTATCATACCAATGTTCAATTTTTTTATACTAAGATAGCTTTACAAAACTTTTTTTTTTGTCTTTTTATTATTAACGTTTCGTGTGTTTACTTTATTTTCAAAACATCACGTTCTTGGCGCTTACGTCACATAAAGTTCTATTCAACGGCAATATCACAAAATATTTAAAGATAGCATATCTTTAGAATTTCGATAGACAGTCTCGCGCGCTGCAGGTAATTCTTTTTTCTCCATATAGTGTTACCATTGTTCACTTTGAAATCTATGAGTTTGTTAAACAAAAATTCGTTAAAGTCTTACAAAATTAGAAATATAATAAAACAAACTCGAAGTTTAAAATTCGGGCTTCTGGTGCCCATGTTTGGACGGAGGACTATGCTATTCGAAATTTGACGGCTCTAGTTACCATTGTTTTTTCACAATGCGAGAAGTTTGCATTACATTCATGCAAATTCTTCATTTTTAAATTTCTTAAATAAAGAGTAATATTTGGTGGCAACAATTTGAAACGTGATTAATGCGTTGTTTTAATGACTCCAAGCAAAATCCCGTTTCGAGGGTAATAATCTCATTAGTGACTAACGTCACTTTTAGGCTAATAAATAAATATTAACTTTTTTTGCTGAAATACTAAATTAAAATTGAAAATTGTGATATAATAAAAGAAAAAAAAAGGAAAGTTAACCTTTTGAATTATAATAATTTTCTTTGTTTTATTTAGTTTGAAGAATAAAGAGCTGTGCTTGATGGCACAAATATCAACCATGTTTCCGGCTTCGCAGTTTAATACTTCGTAGTCTGAACTATGAACAGGATTTACTGTTAGAATTTACATACATATAAATTGCTTTATTTGGCAGTTTAAGATTCTATTTTTTCCTCACATACAATATGAATTGTGTCTTTACTGTATAAGATTGTAATAATTTGCTTTCACAAGTAACTACTCTATTTCTACACTGTGTAGCTCGTAACACTGATGCAAAGCGACCTGTATTAATGATGAAAATAACGTTTGACTTTCCTAAAATTATCCACGTGTATTTCCGCTCGTTGTTTCTAAACCTGCAATTACAATGAATTTACAGCTTCATAGTTTTCCATACTTCCCATTCAACCTAGATTATTATAAACCACTGACACGTGATCGAGGAGGTGACTGCTCTTAGATCGACAAGTGTTTAAATCCTCCCAAAATGGTATCACTACATGATTTTAATCGCCCGTAATGTAAATGCGAGCCAGGTTTCCTTATAAAGTTCCATAAAGGTATCCCTTGCCTCATGCAGATGCCCCCTTGCGCTTTGTTGTATTCAATTAAACGAAAAATCCTATCCTTGAGATATTTTTAATTTCGGAAACTACTAAGCACTGTGTAAGGATCTTAAGTTTTACTAACGTTTATTTTATTTTAAAACTGTACTATCTTT